CCATGTCGTGAAGGCGCTGTGTGCTTCTTTGTGAAAGCGAAACTACTTTGTTTGGCCTTCCAAAAGAGAACGATATTCGCTTCCTCATGCCTAGAGCTGGTCCGTGCTGGTCGCTGAGGAAATACATCAACTTCGCGGTGCGATGCAATGCGTAAAAAGACAGTATAAGTAATTATAATCCATAATTATGTCCCCACTGGATGCAACAAATGCCTCGTTTATAATGGCTTTTAATGTTTAATGTTTAATGTAATCTCCGGCCCGACAGGGCATCACCGTATGGTAGGGGAGTCACTGGATAGCTGGCCAATCAGCGTACACCTCGCTTTTCAGACCGATGAGCTTTGTAAAAATCGACGCGTTTCAGAAAGGCGGGGCATTGAGAAACAATAATGTACAGTATGTGGAAAATAATGTGTTTTTTTAACCTTAAACCGCATAAACACATTTCATTACACCAAATAATGTTCTTTTTAGCAACATCATATGACCCCTTTAAGACAGTCTTCGACTGACAAACCTTGAGTTCACACTGTGATTTTATTTTTTTAGTATATATATATATATACACAATGTATGAGTGAGTGAGAAAATGTCAGGAATTTTTACTCGCACAACTTAAACAAGGTCCCAAAGTTTATATGGTTATAAAAACACATTCAGTAAGGATTTACTTTCATTGACATCAATAGAGAAACCTCCACAAGAACAAAGGAGACATATTTTGAGGCATGGAAGTTCATAACGCTACACACAATATTATAACCCATACAGTGTATCTTGTCAATTACACAAGATCAAAGGGGCAACATTTTTATAACATTAAAAAATCCCTGAGAAACAGCAGATGCACAGCACTAACTTTGATTAAAATTAGCTCGAGTATAAAGGAATTTCTCAACTTCTCTACTATGGCAGTTTATGCATTGTAAAATGTTTTGCCTAAACAAAATATGGTATTGGATTACTCCTATATGAAGCAAATATAGCTTAGTTGTTTGCAATATTTGGCACACACAGTATTTATGGACAATTCATGGATGAACTTTTCAATGTGTTTCATGCGATTTAATTCAAATCCCCAATTGACATTTTTAATACTCACTTCTGCAAACATCAGTTTTAGGTGTAATAATTTGACCCCTTAAGAAGCTAGTTGAAAAGACTTAAAAAAAAAATAAAAAATAAAAAAAAATAATAATAATAATGAATCGACAAGTAACCCATAAACTTCGCATTTTAAAATTATCTGTCAACTGGCCATCTCATGTTGGGTTTAAAAGAATTTGGATACTTATGTTTACGGTTTGCAAAGCAAAAACTTTAAAACTCGAAGACAAAGAAGCAGACTTAGAAGCAGTTAAAAAACACAAACAGTTTTCTTTAAAAAAAGACATTCACATCCAAAAATGATGAAAATGTCTTTTTCTTGTTTATTTACTTAATATTTATATATTTTTTTTACAAAATAAAAAACATTATGAAACAAAAAAATGCTAACAAGTCCGTGTGTAAGAATTCAAGAGGGGAGAAAAAAAGCCATCAAACAAACAGACTACAGTACTTGTGTATATATATATATATACACACATACACATACATGACAAGTTTATCCATTTAAATCTTTTTAAAACGCACAGTACAAAAAGGAAGTCACTGACAAAAGAAAAAAACAAACAAAAAAAAACTCTTAGTACAATTCTGTCCATCAGCACTTTCCTAATAATCGTATTACTAAAATAATATATTTGGGGACAGAAGGTGGCGTGTTTGAGGGGGAGAATGACTGCAGGTATGACAGGAGGACAAAGGCTGTGGAAAAACACACAGGGTGGCCCAAGAAAACGGTAACCTCAATCCCATCGCAAATGAAAAACTTCCCGCTTATGGCAAAACAGATCAAAAGTCATGCCTTAACGTAATCCAGTCTCCCTGCTACAGGAAGGGTGGTTAATGAGGACAACAACAACAACAACAAAAAAAAGGTTTGCAGAAAATAAGTCTAAAGTTTAAGGTGACCAGTGCACTTCTCACACCTGGAGAGTACAATAAGGCTCCAATAAAGCAATTAAAAGGAATACACATTGAAGCCTATAAGTCTTCAAGTACAACATTCATACACTGGCCACCCTGACGATGCAATTCATTCATTCACACACACACACACACACACACAAAATAAACCCAAACGCACACACATGCACATACACACACGGTACAGATCCGAAGCCTGTGAACGCAGCTATACATTTATTTTTTTTCATATATCGGTTTATATTTGGTAAAAAATAAACTTCACAACTGCACTAGCCGATTTAGAGTGATATCTTTTCCCAAAATAAAATTTGGTAAAAACTCACTGCAGGGGGAGAAACAGAGGAGGTGCATGTACATTTGGATTGCAGGTGCTGATCAAGCAAGAAGCAGAAAGGAGGGAAATAAACAAACGAAAAAAAAACTGCCCTCTCTCCCTCTAACATACCTCTCTTTTTCATTTTATCCAATAGTAAAAAGCAAAAGAAGAGGGGAAAAACTAAACATTTGTCCTTTTAGAAAACAGATCTATGTTACATATTCCAGAAAGAAAAAAAAAAGGGGGGGTTTGGGGCTTTTATGTATTTTGAACACAATACAAACTCCAAATACTCAATACTCCAATCATGAAGGCCTAAGTAACTATCCATATATTGACGAGATCACGCTCCCCGTTAAGACTTCTCCCTCCATGCCCCTTCTTCAAGCGGCGACTTGCAGTGCTGTATCTCTCTAAGGACAGCGCCACCAGTGGAATGGGGCTGGTACTGCAGGGTGACCGTGCAGACAGAGGAGAGTGAGCGCCGTGGAGGACAGAGAAAAGGGGGAGATTTCTGGGGAGAAAGGTATGGTTCCACTAATCCAGCCTTTGGAACACCAGACGGGGCAAGACAGGGTATTAATTGCCTCCCCAGGTGTAGCTGTTGTATCCGGACTTGTTGATCTGTGACTTCTGTTGAATGGAGGCATTCTGACTGCGTTGCCCAGAGCCACTCTGAGAGAAAGGGAAAAAAAAAAATCTTAAAAATTAAGTCATTTTTAAACTATAAATGACAAGCGTTGGTTTGGAAGGGGGAAAATATCATTATAATAATTTATAATTATATAAAATAATAATAATAATAATAATAGTAATTCTAGCAATGATAATAATAAACAATAAAACAACAACAATAATATCAAATAAAAACTTAAAGCATTCTAAATCAAGCTTTAATTTGGAAGAGTAATAAATTTGTTTAAAAACAAAAGTCTTCTAATTCATAAACATTAATTTGGCTTTGATCAAGCTTTGGCTAAACAAAATTTGCTTTGGAAGGGGAAAACATTCAACAACAATAATAATACAATTATTATTATTATTATTATAAAAAGCTTTTTGTTTTACAACATTTTTAATAATAATAATATTTATTTAAGTTGAAGTTGTAAAATGAAAGAACAAGCTTTTTATTTCCTGAACCTGACAGGTCTATATGCAGGTCAGCAATACAAAACCAGATGTGATGGTGCAAGCTTACCTGTCCGTCCTGCTGCAGGTGGTGGTGGAGCATCTGAGAGTGGGGCTGCTGATGGGGGGTCAAGATGTGCATGTAAGGGGCTGGAGCGTAACCCGCCGCAGCCGTAGGGTTGATAGGGCCACCACTCCCAAGTGCTGAGGGCAAACTGAAGGAAGCACTGGGGGTTCCCGTGTGGAAACCCTGCTTCTCAAAAGACTGTGGAGATCAGATTGAGACACTTTTGGTGACAAAGTTAATTAAAGAAAAAATCTATTTGATGAGCATGCTCACCTGCGTCTTTGTGTAAACAGACCCTGAAATGTCAGGGACTCCAGTGTTGCTTGATGTCACAGAGACACCTAAAGCAGAAAAGTTAAAAAAAACAAAAACAAAATGATGATTGCTGAAAGCAGTAAAACATCACTTAGCTCGAGACAGGCGGACCCGCATATGATTAGAAGTATGACACTGATAAATCCAGTAAATGAAATGAGGAATGCATATTTAAAGACAGAAGCGTAGAAATGTGTTCCTCTAATAGGCTTTCTGGGAAGATTGTTGTGTGTAAAAATTGCTCATTATCTGTGGCTCCACATTTTGCCATAGAATGGTGAACAAGAGTAGGGTAATTTCAAGGCTAATCAGAGACAAAAACTAAAAATTAAAAGAAAATCCACACACAGACAACACTTGTGCAATTTGCATGAGGCACAAAATGGTACACAAGCAATAATGATAAAAATAACACTTAAAACTAATAACTGAACTAACCCCCAAAAGAGTTAAGTGTTCTTAAGTGGCTGAAGAAACAGCAAAATGACTGAAGAAAATCACTGAAGAGTCATTGAGGATGGTGTAAATTCCCTTGAGCATATATTAATGATGATAATAATAATAATAATAATAATAATACTTTTTGGTACATTAGAAAACAATGCTCTCTGCAATAACCACAAGACACTATTTAAAAGCGGATACCAAATATGGGCTTTATAGAGGAATTAAGTGTATATTAAAACTTTGTTTTAGTCACAATATTCCCAATAATAGTTTCAAATGAATCTAACTTGGAACTTGGTTTAAGCAAATCATATTTTTGACCAATATATGCAATTTAAAATAAGAAAAAGGAGCACGTACACACACACACAAAAAAATTTGAACGCAGAATGCCATAAGTAGTGTATAACACAAAACACAAATGTAGTCCAGATCATCAAGCTGCCGAAATGTTCACAAGATGAAAAACCTATTAACAAAATATGATGCATAAAGCATTTTCTTTGAGATGAAGACAAGATAAAAACTAAGAGACCACCACTGCTCTCATTAGAACTAACAGTAAACACTAGTCCATTTCAGGGAAACAAAAAAATACTGACCAGAATACCTCAAATACCTTAAAATACTGGAGGAAAAAAAAAACCCCATTCAAATGATTCCACTAATCGAATCATTTTTTGGGCAGTTGGCTGCATTAATGGATTGCATCCATTAAGAAACCCTTTTCAAACGTTTTAAAGACTGTCACCATGTTGGTGTTCAGTCACAGGAGTAACAACCCTGATGTTCTACCCAAGGAAAGAGAGACTTTCATGTCCTCCACCCTTCCTAGTGAAACACCGTTTCCTGATCTCCTTCCATCTGAGACCAGGCGGCATGTGACGGCTTCATCAAGCTTGACCAGTAGTAAGTTAGGAGCAAATGAGGGGAGAGAGAGAGAGCTTAAGAAAGAAAAGGGAGGCGGAAAAAGGAAAATGGGGGTTTTAGCGTGAGGCTGCACTCACCCACTCCGGGCCCGGTGACGGAGCTGGCGGGCTTGTTTTGCACAGAAGCAGCGGCAGCGGCGGTGCCGTAGCCGCCCTTACAGAAATCCCCGCTCCCTGCCGAAGCCTGGCCCAAATCCTCATAGCCTGCAAACGGTCAGACACACACAGCCACAGCCCCACAGCATTAGACACACACCAGGCAGGGCCAGAGGGGAGGAGGAGGAGTGAAGGGGCAGGGCGTAGGGATGGGGGCGAAGACACTGCAAGCTGGGGGAGGGGCCTATCAGATATACTGGGAATACTGGTGATTTAAGAAAATGACGAGAACAAGACGAGAAGGTGAAAGACATTTATAAACAAAAGCGATGGAAATAAAAAGACTGCAAAAACAGAACATTAGGACTGGAGAAGATGAAGCTGGAAAATATCAATGAAAGAATGGAAGTTATGGAAAAGATGGAATGAAAAGTTAATATGGAAGAATTTGCAGAAGAAAATGAAGAAAAATAAGGACACAAAGAATTTACATGAAGATGGAATGAGAGCGTAAGAGCAAAGGGATGGAAGGATAAAACAAAAAGTGGTGAAAGATTAAAAGCAAGCAGCGTGTGGAAAGCATGCGTGAACCCACCACCCTCAACCAAGCGACCTCCCTCCCACCTCATTCTCCTTAAATCACTGGTTCCACAGAGACCCACCCATCGGCAGCACTCTGAAGTGCTTGCTTAAGCCTATCTGTGCACAAACCTCAGATAGTTTAAATGTTACAGTTGGGATTAGGGATGTCAACGATTAATCGATGATCGATTAATTGTCGATAAGAGGTGCAATCGATTAAAGCTATCATGGTCGATTAAGTCGTTTAATTTTGGGCTGCGTGCGGCTCATGCGCAAAACACGTGCGAGCGGCTGTGAGTGACGGTGACGGTATATAAATGCATCATCATTCACTCATAATGTACAAATTAAGCTTTTAATGTGATTTAAACTTTAAAAGTACATTAAAATAGAAACAACACAAAGTTCTTCAACATGGAAAGCAATAGAAATGTAGTAACCAAGTAATTTCCCCAGATAATTCTTTCATATCGGGCTCTGCGCTTTGCAGGGCTGCGGGACACAGGACAGATTGGCTATTCATTCCTACAACTTGTCAATTCGTTCCTACGGCTTATTAATTTGTGGCCACTGTCCATGTTTCATCAATTTTGTTCCTTAAATAACCCATAATTTAAGTAAAATGAGGGAACAAATTAATAATTAATCGATTAATTGATCGTTAATTTAAACGACGATCGATCATGGAAATTATCGAAAATTGACATCCCTAGTTGGGATTCACTATATAACAGTAGATGATTGTCCAAATGTCCATCATGCGTTTATAAAATGTTCAAAGTTGGCCATATTCCTGAGGCTGCAGGTTGATATCCAGGATACTCCAAGTCAATAGTACAATCCTCAATTGTTAAAACTACCCCACACGCAGAATCAATGTTTAAAACATAGCGACACAAAACAAAACTCCATGCAGTACAGTTGTGATTGTGAACGTCATCTGGTTTTGAAAACCAAACATCTTCCAAAATGCAGTACTATGGGTAATACCATAAGATTAATTGTCTCATGCTTCAACTTCACAGACAAGAAAAAGAAGAGATTTGGCCAACACAGGGTTTAGAGGTGACTGAGCTAGTTTAGTTATACATGGCTTAAAAACTCAGCCAAGAGGAACAAGATGGTTATAAGACCTAGAAGTTACTAGAGTGTTTTTCTAATACTTCAGCAAACGGGTAGACTAATTGTAGGCAGATTGAGTTGTAAAAAGCATCCGAAAAGTTTTACTGCATTTTAAATGTTGCATGGACGTAAGAAAATGCATTACCAGTGCTGTATCCATGTGATCCATAACCACTAGCTTGCTGAAAGGGCGTTGCTGACGCACTGACACCGACATTCACACCATGCTGTTTGGAGGAGGTAGGAGCCACCTGGAAGAACATTCAGAAACGGTCTTTTAAATTCACAACGAAACCGATGTAGCAAAATATATTCTGCTGTATTGTGACATACATCCAAGTGCAGCGGATTATCAAAGCAAAAAAGAAGGATGGGGATCAGTCGTTGACTGGATTTCGAGAAGCTTAGGCTCAGACATGGCGACATTCACACCATCAGTTTTTGGGATTGACAGCAACATTTAATTACAGGTGTAAGTCTCAAAATGTCCCGTTCACACAGCATCTTAGAGTAGCGTCTCGAATACTGTCTGTATGAACGTGCAATGGGAGTCAAGCCTGTATTTCTTACCAGTAACCATATCTCTGGTAATGATTATAATGCTTTATTCAATGTTAAAAGTGTCTAATGCAAGTTTGAATATTATTTTGCGTTATCTTTATAGCCATAGTGAAAGCAACAATAGATATTTTACCTCAGATCTTGAAAATAAATTAAAGCAAACTTGTATGTTAAAACTGTGAACTCACTACGAACCAACACGTGTATTCCATAAAGATATCAGTCACTCACTCAAAACGGTTCAGTCCATTCACATTTGAATCATCTATTTTCCATGTCGACTTTTCTTTTCTACACACTCGCCATGTTTTTGCCGTCACATCATATCTACACTAGACGCGACAAAGCATTGCAAATCATTTGAACGTTGTGTCAGTACGTTATAAATAGAACGAGTCAGCAGTTTACTGTCGGGGATTTGTCGTGTCGCGCCGCATCCAAGACAGCATCACTGATTATAACGAGTTCTATTGTATTTTATTGCGTCACGCCGCGCCGCTCGCGTCCGTTGTAGACACGATGTAAGTTAATGTAGCTTTCTGATGCGGTGTTTGAATTTTCATGCCACATTATTTGAAATTGGCGCGGGCCAAACTTTTTTCTCTCACGGCCCGGATGTGGCCCGCAGGCCGCCTATTGAGGAACCCTGCTGTAGAGTCTATTAATTTTTTGACCCGTCTAATCTTCATTAACCGGCAGTAGCTTTTGTATTTGGGTGGGAAGTGGAGCATTTGAGTCACACGTAAAGCAGAACTGATGGGAGCAGCTCAAGGACTCAAACACAGGACTGACACCTGTATTCTGCTACTGTGTGAACGTGGCCATGGTTTAAGAACATCTACACACTGCACAAATCTATACACTGAACATGTAATAAGCATATGTGTGACGTTACCATTTTCACAAATTTTTGTTTTTGTCATATTTTCAAAAACTCCGAAAACCGTTTACAAAAGTTTAGTTTTCAGGCCGCCAGAAAGGCATTGTCATGTAAAATGAACAGCCAAAATGCATACAAATTTTCAGATGAAAACGTACGTAACACTCAAACATTCACACTGCAATTACAGCTGTATACTTTGAAAATAGAGGCTGAGGAGGGTTAAAGCAGGTTTTGGGTTAAAAAGGGTTAAAGTCTTTTATGCTGCACTGTCCCTTTACACTGAATTTTGAGAAGGCACAGAGAAGCTTTAACTTGGCCATGTAAAAGATGCCTTAAGAAACCTTACCGGAAACATGGCAGGGCCGTACTGGAAGGTGTTGGGCAGACCGGGCACACCAGTATAATAGGGCAGGCTGGTGTAGCTGTATCCTGGTGGAAGGGTTGGGTTGAGGAAGGGCTGCTGGGTGGTATGGTGCGCTTGTGTCTGGGTCTGCTGTGGCTGGGCCAGCGTTGTGGTGGGTGCAGGAGACGAGGCGTCGCCACGGCCAAACTTGGACAGGTCACCAGCTAAAGAAAGTTTTGAGAAACAGTGTTTCAGAAAATGTAGCATTTGGCTCAAAACGTTTGGGTTCCCTCACCAGACATTGAATACAATGTGCAAACCAAACCTAAAAGAAACAAAAAAAGTGCATCTTACCAGAATATGGGTTGCTTGTCAAACTGCCTTCCCTGCCAGTCAGTGCTGTGGTTGGAGTGGCAAATGGGATGCTGTAATAGTCCTGAAGAAAATAATGTTTCAACTACATTCAGCACAAACAAACCCAGCATTGTTGCTTTCATGTCAAATACTTCCACTAATCAAACAGGAACAACCCCTCACCAGTGGTATCCTGGTCTGCAGCATCTGTAGGTCATCGTAGCCATACACTTGGGGCTAAAGCATATAAAGAGTAGGGTGTAAGCCAAAACAATATACATGATAAATAAAGCATGCCTAAGAGAGAGTACAGAACTGACAACAGACAAATTAAAAATAAAAACGCCTAAACACTCACTGGGTATGGGTGAAGCAGGCCGGGAGCCATAATGTAAGGGTTGGGCAGCAAGGGTGGCACTCCAGGAGGCAGGTTTGGAGGTGCTTTCCCTGTTTAGATGAAGCAGCATACAATCAAATTAAGTTGAAGTGGTTTTATCCTCTTGCATAAAGCATTTTACAAGTTTAGTTTTACACATCTCTGAGAAAAGAAAATGGATATTGACCATGTCTGTACATGTTGAAAATGATGCGCAATTCTGCATTAGTTTATTCCAAGCAATAGCCATTTTTTTCTAGCTAAACAAATAATGGGTCATTCCGTAAAATCAGTAACATCTACGTGTTACTATAGATTAAAGGCAGGGTATGTGATTTTTCAAAAACACTTTAGAAAACTGATTCGGGCCGAATAGCAAAACAAACTTGTAGCCAATCTTGTACTCGTGATGTGGAGGAGAGAGCTTTCAGTGCATGGGACGGACATTAGCCGAGCCGAGCGACAGAGAGATAGAGATGGTGGATAAAAAACAAAAGAGGAAAACGTCTGCGGAAGGATAAGGCAAGAAGTAGGACCCGTGTAAATATCGGATCAGCTTTCCAGCGCTGGAGAGAACTCAAGGAGCGGAGGCCTGTGATCGGACGCCGAGGTTGCTTTGTTTCTTCTCAATGGGTGAGTAACACTGTGTCTACAACAGCTAAAGTCTGCCTACACTGGACGCGATCAAACGACCGTTGAAAACCATTTGAAATTTGTGTCAGCACGTCATAAATAGAACCTGGCAGCAGTTTTCTGTCGGGGATTTGTTGCGCTGCGCCGCTCACGTCCGATGTAGACACGGTGTAACATTGGTTTTGCTTTGTTTCACAGAACTAATCGTTGCCTGGGTTGCATACGTATATGTGGGGCGGAGCTATCAAAATAGGGGCAAGACCCTTTTGGGGTAGGGGCGTGTTTGTTTTGGTGATTTCAAATATCAACATTGGCTACCAGAAATCGCTTACTCTGCCTTTAATAATCGCCAAAAGTCCAGTGACTTTAAAGGGAGTTCACCCAAAAACAAAATTTTTGTCATTAATTACTCACCCTTCATGTCGTTCCAAACCCGTAAGACCTTCGTTCATTTTCAGAACACAAATTAAGATATTTCTGATGAAATCTGAGAGCTTTCTGACTCTGCATACACAGCAATGCAACTGAAATGTTCAAGGCCCAGAAAGGTAGTAAGAACATCGATAAAATAGTCCAAGTGACATCAGTGGTTCAACCACATTCAGGACGGTACCATGACGCATGCGTGTGATGCTGCTGACGCTGGAGCCGGCGTTGTGACGTAGAACACACATGCGCTGCACCTTGTTTACAGGCAGAGGAATGCACACGCATGCGTCGTGGTACTCTCGTGAATGAAAGAGACTGACATGGAAGATAAGAAATTGTTGAATAAAGACATTATTTTTGTTTTCTTTGTGTACAAAAACATTCTTGTAGCTACATAAAACTACGGTTGAACCCCTGATGTCACTTACTATGTTTCTGGGCCTTGAACGTTTCAGTTGCGTTGCCTTTAGTTATGAATCAATTTAATGCATCTTTCTTTTTTTTTTTTTTTTTTTACATGGAACTAAGTTAGTATTTATTTTCACCCATTTTCAGTTATCAAAGACAAAACATGTATAACTCACAATGGGAATACAGAACAGCTGCAAAGTGTTTAGTGAACTTGAGCAGTACCCAGACCACAGGTCCATCCGATGTTTGAAGGAAATGTTTCTCAAACAAATAAGTATTCATAATATTTTTTAAATATTCATATTTAAATAAATTTTTTAAACCATTTTTTTTAATGTATCAGATAATTCTAGTCTTTTTGATGGCACCTTACTAAACACTTTCAATAAAAAGTAATTGTATGTCACAGTATAAAAGATTTAGGTCATATTGTCCAACTCTAACTGCAATTCTTACCTGAGGCAGCCGTGCTGCGAGATGAGACAGATGAAGGTGCCACAGTGGCCGAGGCAGCAGATGAAGATGAAGCAGAAGCCATAGGGGGGGCCATTGAAACCACACCAGCACCACTGTTCAATCCCATGGTCATACTGCTTACCGGGCCCAGTGCAGACTGTGCAGAGACCGAACTGACAGAAGAAGAGGGGGGAATGGGGCAACTGTAGGAAACAGGGGCTGCTGAAGTAGCTGAAGAGGGTGGAGGAACTGAAGAAGGAGCCACAACAGAGACCGACGAGAAGGACGAGGAGTGCAAGCAGGAATCGCCGTCCACACTTGGGTGCTGGGAGGCACAGTGACAAGAGAGAGATCACAAAACAAATATATAAAAAAAAATTTTAAAAAAACTTTGCAAACAGCCAACCGTTTGAAGAATAAATCAAGACCATTTAAAATTTTTAATTTAAATTAGTCATGAGGCAGATCAAGTAATTATATTTTCACAACAAGTACACAGATGAGTTGTGCAAACTAAGACTATGCATTACCAAAACAGACACAATATTGACTTCATGTTCACTTTGCTCTGTACTTATAACAAGTACATTTAGTGGCAAACTCACCAGTAGGCTTGTGTTTGAAGTGCGAACCGAAGAAGGTGCCAAACTGTTTTGCTGTAAAGGGAGGGAGCTGATGGGAAAAGTGCAGTATTATTAGCATCTCTCTTATCCAGACACACTAAACTGAAGTAATGCAAACACAAAATGCCATACTTATTGTGCTGAGGAGGGGCCAGGGAGCTGGGCGAGGCGTCTTCGTGTCCAAGAGCACTGAGAGGTGTTTGACTGGATGTAGTCAGCAGGGAAGGAGGACCTGATGAGCGGTCAGCCAATGAGGATATGTTGGAAACCGATGGTGGGACGACGGATTCGGACACTGGTTTCACGGGCACTGCAGAGCCTGCTGCAGCTAGGAACGATAATGGGATATTTAACAAGTTTTATCAGTTGCATGAGACTTGTTCACAACAAGAGCGGTAACTATAATAACCATATTAGTGTACAAACCAACGGACAACTACATTCTGTTCATTAGCGTGCGCAGCACTAATGTCATCTGCTGCTTTAAATGCTCAAGCTCTTTAAAGTTGGGTGGATTCTGATTTTTAAAACTTTAAAGTTATACCTTCCAGAGATTGTGACGTCTGCATCGAATTGAACCCATTCTGTAATCAGAAAGAAAAGGTTAGATTAGATGAAGCATCATTTTCACATGAAAACTCATGGTGGTACACTGATAGACGACTAAGGGCTGATTGTGTTTAGATTGAATCTTACCTTGGACTGAATGTCTTTCTGTGGTGATGAGGACACAGAAGGAGGGTAGCGCCGTGTCTGGCTGGCTCTTGGCTCATAAAGCTCCATCTGACTGGGGTTGGACAGGGCTGTTGCTTGCTCACTGTGGACAAACCAGAAAAACATCATTAGATATTCTATGATTGTGTTAGGACAGCATAAAAGTAAAACTGAAATCACAGCGGTTAAGTCGTAAAGGCTGTGATGTTATTAAATAAACACGCTGCATATTGTATGTTCTTTTAGACAGGAGCAGCTCGTGATCCAGTGTCTTCAGCATCTCAGATCAGCTCACATCCCTGAATATTTATGGAAAGCAACATGCGGCAACCATCTTTCCAAATTTGTAATGAGAAGTGCTTATTAAACTTGTCAACAAAAGCCCTATTTGGACAGTAATTGTTTCTCATGGGGACGTCTGTAAAAAATAAATCTCCATAGCTCCTCAGTGATTGAACGCATGCTTTTAGATGAAGATAAATTTGCGGTGGACGTCGGAGTTTGTAATCCTACGAACCCAGAACTGCATGTCTTACGTAGTCAGTCACATGATCACTGACGTGCTCAGAAACATACAGGCGCATCAATTACTTCTGCCTGGAGCGCTGTGGCAAGCTTTATGCGTGCGTTTGAGCGCTTATTAGGCTATATAGGCAATTAAAGGCTCATTATCAAATTATTAAATGGTTTATTAATAATAATAATAATAATAATAATAATAATAATAATGCTTAAAAAGAATGACTACTAGATGCCACTTTTATGATACAAATTACTGCGAAGTGCAACCGTACAGTGCATTTCAGTGGTCAAAAAGGATTTACAAAAAGTTACAAAACGACTTTTGGATTGATCTCCTTTTATAAACTCAGAGATGTGGATTTGGACGGCAATTAAGTCACCACACAACCTTTTGAATCGATTTCTTCTCGTAAACTCAGAGATGTGGATTCGGACGGCAATTCAATTACCACACGACCTTGGTGTTTGTCAAAAAACAGTAGGTAATTCCGCTGCGGATTTTTACGGGGGTGGTGTGAGAAAAACACTGACATCCTGGATTCGGACAGCATTAAAATCACCAACTACCCCCCGTAAATGGTGAAAATCCCTTATGTCCCCCTGAGAAACAATTACCGTCCGAATAGGGCTTAAAGGAACACTCCACTATTTTTGAAAATAGGCTCATTTTCCAACTCCCCTAGAGTTAAACAGTTGAGTTTTACCATTTTCTAATCCATTCAGCCGATCTCCTGGTCCGGCGGTAGCACTTTTAGCTGCAGCTTAGCATAGATCATCGAATCT